ATATACACAGCAGCCTGTGAGCAGTATGAACAGTGTGTATGAATATGCTAAGATATATAAAGTATGAAAACGGTAAGCAGTGCAAGTATAGTATAACCTATATAGATATTAATTTCATGATGATAAACATTGTGGAACAATGATGAAAAATGTGAATGGAAGTGGCGACGTAAAACTGACACCAAACAACAACAAACTTTTGCCGAGCCAATTGGACAGTTTCATCAGCAACACGGGGTAAAAACCACCAATGAGCGCTCAGCTCGAGATACCAGCGAGTCGTTTCCCATCAAGCATTTCGCCTCCGCAGCCCGTGGAGAGGAACTGCGCCGCCTCGCCGCGCCTCGCTCTCAAGGCTGCGGGCGTCTTTGTCCCGCGAGATTTCAACGTCTCATGTGAGCGAGCCTCCAGAGCAAGTCGGACAAAATGACTAACCATCATGCAACGCACGAGCAAGACGTTGATCGAAATTGCGCAGGTCTCGCTTGTCTCAAACAAGCCTAATGTCTCGAAAACACATGTTGGCGACTGGAAGACATCCAGTGTTTGGTCTTTTCCGGAAGCATCCTACAGTGTCTCAACTGAAAGAGGACCACAAACACACACAAAATATAATACAATTTTGAGATTTGGGGATATGTATCTCCCATTCTGTCACTTTTTCTGACATTTTCAACACCAAACATGTCGTTAATGTGTTTAGTGAACTACAGCAATCTGAAAGCCTGTACATTATCTATATCTCACTTTATCAGTTGAAAAATGCAGGAAATTACTTTTTTAATGCAGTATTTTCTGATTTATGGCGCAACACAAAGATGGTGCAAAACTTTGACTCTAATATATTAACAACATAAAACAAGAATATGAACCTGGCTTTATCCAATGTTCACACAAGAGTTCTACATCCTGACACATCCTTCATCTACACTGTCTCAACTGGAAGAGGACCAGAAACACATTAAAAATATAATAAAATGTGGAGACTTTGGGATATTTATCTCCCATTCTTTTACTTTTCGGGCATTTTACAGACCAGACATGTCGTTGATGTCACTGTTTACAAAACTACCACTTTTTCTGAAAAATGCATAGAATTATGCAATATATGTTAAATACATGGTTTATACATGTAATTACTGGGGTTCCATTTCTTCTGATTACCTCATTTGGGCGTGCACATTTGCCGCGTGCAAACCTACCTCTTTTGGATTTGGAAAGGTTGGCATGTATGGAAGGATGTTTCTCTGAGAGCTTTTGTCTGCAGCTGACTGTATATCTGTTATTATACTTATCATAGATGTGTTTTACTTCTTCGCAGTGCCTGGGGTGAGAGGCTCATCACGTTGACCCAGACTGCCGCCATTCTCTTCCTCATCCTGTATTATCGTGGCCGAACCCTCACAGGTTAGCGCACACTCAAGCACAATTTTTCTTATTTCATATTCCAAAATATGAATGTACTTTGTATGCATTTTTTTTTACGGAATGCCGGGGGGGATGTGGTGCCATGATCTGGTGTGTGAGGAATCTGGCGGCTGCATGTTCTACCCCCCCCCCCCCAAGCTTTGTCATTACAAAATAATGCCTGTTATGATCACTTTAAACCATTTCCTTTCATAGTTTGTTTTCCAATCCTTTGTTATTACTTACTTTTTTATCCAAAAATGATAGCCTCAATACATTGCCTACAATTGTTGATGTTGAACACCTTTTAAAAACCACACCACCTTTTGTCAGTACAGTAGTTACATTTAAGAACCATTGAAATAGCTTCTGATTAGGTTTATCTAGATAAGTGTTTCTCAAACTTTTTCATACCAAGGACCACTTAACCAATAAAAAAACACTCGCGGACCACCTAACTCCACAAATATCCCAAATCACATCCTTTTTCTAGAACAGATTACAAATCGCCTGAAAATGGTACAAGCAAGAGGCAACATGTGTGATGAAGGTGTTGCGCTGGGCTTGAAACTTAAGCTCACTCCATTGCGGAGATATTCCCGCGAGAGTGCGGAAATCTTAAATTTATTTATTTATTTCAAATGTGAAATGTTACCAATATACTCACGGACCACTAGGGGGCGCTCACGGGCCACCAGTGGTCCGCGGATCACACTTTGAGAAGCACTGGCTAGATTAAGCCTCAGCAAGGCCTTCATGCCTTTTTCAAGCTTAAAGACTCTACACTGTAGAGTCTACAGAGTTATTCAATAAAAATGTATATAGTCAAAAGTCATAACTGTATTTTCACAGAAGGTGACTTTTCCAGTCATCAGTCACATCAATCATTAAGAAGTCAAATGCTTTATTGACAAGCTCCTGTGCATCCTGTATGAGTACATTAATAGTATATATATTTCTGCTACTAAAACGCTTGTCTTGTTCAGTCTGATGTTTATGTGAAGAGGGGTTTATCAGTGACTCATAAAGTCTTCCTGTTTAATTCTTTGCTCAATGCTTTCCTGGAGCGCCCTCTTGTGGTGTTATCTTGTGTCTCATAAACTTCTCAGAGGGACCTTGTGTTCAAAGAACACATTTCACTGAGTTAAAGAGTACATGTTGTGCTCATCTTCAAGTTCATATTTGGTTTTTGTGCCTCTACTGTTTAATGTTTAAAAAGGTCTTTATTTTTCCTGCACTGCCTACCTCTTTTCACCCTCTGTCTGAAACCAGAGCTGGTTTTCAGTGTAGCCTTTTTTTTTCTTTGTGCATGAAATTCCTTATTCATTCCTGTTATTCTCTTTTCATGGCAGGAATTCTGTTC